GAAGATAAAATCCTAGATCCGTTTTATATTGATATTTTCTCGTGATTATTTGCTTTCTTAAGTAGCTTAATTGTTTAATTGATTTAAATTGACAACCTTGCGTGGGCTGGATAAAAATCATAATTGTTAGAATTTGGTACTTAGGATTAGATAATTTGCGTATTCCCTGTGGGATTGACATCCGACTCTCACGAGTCCACTTTTACTACTTGTTTGCGATACGTGCACTTGCGTGTTAGGTATTAGCCCCAACACCTACACCTAGTGATAAACACCGAGTGGGTCTTCTGCTGCCACGTGCCTTTTTTTTTTTTTTCCTAAAACCCTAAAGATAAACCCAAGCGAGAGAATATATTATAAAATACAAAAAATGACATGTGGCAACAGAAGACCCACCCGGTGTTTATCACCGATTGTAGGGTCGAAGAAGTCCTTTTCTATTTTCTATTTTTTTCTTACTAAATTTGGGTCAATTAAATTTGAGTGAGTGAATTTTTTTTTTTGGTAAATATCATTGTAGTAGTGCTTTCACTGGCATGCATTTAATTCGTATACAAACTTTGTAATATAATGTAACACAAGTAATCAAATGTTACTACCCACTTGTGATCATATTCATAACCCAAAAAAGACAAGGGCAATTTACAAATAAGTCCATCAATGGATACTTATTCATAAAGGGGTCCACATAAATAAAACTATTTTACAAAAAAGTCCACACATGGTCCAGGGGTTTGTAAAAGACTAAAATAGGCCATAACATTTTAATATGTTTCAATTTCATCCTTTCATTTTATTTAACCTCAAATTGACCCCAAATTTCACAAACTGTCAAATTTGACCCAAAACACAATTTTGAGTATAATTTCGTCCTTCGCAGTCAGTCTCCGGCGTTGACTTTTTTTTTCTTCCCAATTTTTTTCGCCGGTCTCCGGTGTTGACTTTTTCGAAAAAAAAATTCCTTCTGGATTTTTCCGCCAGTCTCCGGCGTTGAATTTTCTGATTTTTTTCTTTTTAATTTTTTTTCTTTAACATCTTTTTGCCTCCGTTTAAACAGCAATATTGTTGTGGTTGACAGTAATATTAACTATATTACTATTAAACATAGAAATATTAACTATACTACAGTTTTACACAGTAATATTGCCATATTGATCTATAGCACAGTAATATTAACACAACAAAAGTCATTATTATTGTGTAAGAATGTTGATCGTTCAACAAATGTACATATAATAAAAAGTCAAAAGAATTAATATTGATGTGGTTGACAGTAATATTACTGTAACAACAGTAATATTACCGTCAACCACAATAATATTATTGTGTTTACAGTAATATTATAATAGTAGACATTAATATTATTACGTTACCCCGCAACAACTCAAACAAAACAAAAAGCCCAAAAAAATAATAATATTACTGTGGTTGACAGTAATATTATTGTGTTTACAGTTATTTTACTGTCAATGATAGTAATATAATTGCGTTGGCTTGTCAACAAATCAAACAAAATAAAAAAAACCAAAAAAAAAATAATATTGTCGCTAACAGTACAATTACGTTAATGTACTGTCAACGACAGTATAATTACGTTTATGTACTGTCAGTGACAATATAATTATTGTTAATGACAGTACAATTACGGTCAATGTTTAGCCGCGGGTGTAAAAAAAAGGATAAAAAATCGAAAAAAGTCAACGCCGGAAACCGGCGGCGGAGAAAACAGACCAGAAAAATAAAAAAAATAAAAAGTTGAAAAAAGTCAACGCCGGAAACCGGCGACAAACAAATAATTTCAGCAAAAAAAGTTCTTAAAAACAAAATGTCAAAATTGGATGTTTGTGGTCAAAATTCATAAAATTGGGGTTGCAATTAAGAATTAGGCGTAAGGGTAGGGGTAATTTTGTCAGATACGTTAATTTTTCCTTTATTTATAATACATATTAAATGGATGGGTTTATTGGCGAAAGATATATAACCCCTGAACCTAGAATAATAAAGATGGCTGGTCAGGGACTTATGCACAAAAAACCATAAAAGACAAATATTAGCAATTTTAGGTGATGCATTGGGGTTTGGAACGCGAAGTCAAGGAAATTTTGGGTCAGACCCACCTAAGATGTTAAATCTGAAAGAGGAGACGGAGTTTCTCTTCGGTCGAGTAGCTTCAGCCAACTAAGCCAGAAAATGATGGGGCTTTTACCTTAGAGCCAAGTCGGAGAAAGCAAGTGTTGATTTTAAATGCCTATGAATATCTACTCATCTGTTGAGACAGACTACGTGTTACGACATTAGGTGTGGTAACAGAATTCTTGTGTTGTCACAGTAATAAATCTATTAAAAGCAGAATAAAGAACACAAGAATTTAATGTGGCTCGGATACAAATGTACCCTATATATATCCACGAGGACTTGCAAAACTAGTTCAGATTTAAGTGTACATTAATAAGACTTAATAGAAACACTAAGACTCTTGTTTATGTAATATGCCGTTCTTGCACACGACTCGAACTTGTTGATAATCAAAGCAATTCCTTCTCCGCACTCTTGGACTCCCTCCAATGTTGAACTCCTTTCAAACGGCGGATCGACCTCTCCCGAGATCTTTTAAGCACTTCTCCCGAAACGCCGATTTTCTTTATGGCCTGGTAGAAGAAACCTGTTCTGTTGCCACACCTGATGTGCCGACAGGGCTGCAGCGCGGGCTGCACCCTTCAAAGCCTTTATGCGGGGATTTTTCTTATTAAAGCTCCATAGGACTCATATGAGGTTGAGGGCCTTATATAGGCACGAAATCACCACCCTAAACCTAACTTGGGCCCTAAGAAATCAATTTAACTAGGTAATAGAATCCTAGTCGATTTCTACTACTATTCTAGATAAGTACAGAAGATATCTAACTAGAATATAATGCATGGAAATAAATCTAAGTCCTAATAAAAATATTACAAAAATAGGACTCTAATTAATTCCAAAATAAACATGAAAAACAAATCTTTGCCAATCTTTAATTTCCACGTATGGCGGATTTCTTCAATCTTCACTAACAGAAATCTGGCGCCAACAGCAAGGTTCTGAAAGAAAGGCCCTCTTAGAGGCTTTGGCCCTACATTGAGGGAAAACCTACTCTACGTGCACTTTTGTAAATTAAGAAAATGAGTAAATTTACAATATTTGCACAGAGGTAATGTTAAACCTAAATCCTAAATATGTCAGCAAAATTATTGAAATTTTGAGAAGATTTTACAACTTAATTTCATTTTTTCTCTGCACGATTCTTAAAATATAGCATTTCACACTTTGCACCCCATGAAGAAATAATATCACTTTGCACTCTCAAAAGATAAATAATCATTCACATTGCACCTCAATTGATATTTTAGCAAAATTCTCGAAGTAAATTATTTGTTTTGGTAGATCTTTGGCCAAAAAAAGCATAATTTGCGGAAATTTTCTAGTAAAATAGTGAGAAAATAGTTGAATTGTGGGGAGAACCAAACAATTTAACTTGACACTAGAGATGAAAATACCATCCGCGAATACACCCATACAAAAATATTTATTTTCTTGGTGCAAAATTATTAAATTTTTAATTTTTCCACCCTTCAACTATTTTTTTCACCAAACTACACAAATAATATCGTTTCATACAAAAACAATCATCAATGTTTTACCAATTCTGATAAGGGAGGTACACATCCAATAATTTTTGAAATTTATTTATCAGAATTCTATTATTTGAATTATATTTATCACATAAAAGGAAATTTTCATTTAAAAATGCTACTAATAGATGAAATTATCTTCACTAAGCTTAAAACTTATGTTGGGGTGTACGTGATATTAATTTGTTTTTGGCGATGCATTCTCAAGGGTGCAAACTGAAATTATACCTTCCGAAATTAATAAAACAATCCTCAACAATTGAAGAAACAACATAATGGAAACTTACCAAATTTATCTATTAAAATTGTAAGTACTGAAATTTCGAGAACTTGGCTCCAAATTTGCAATTCAGCCTCAGGTGTATTATATTTGTTGTTGTCAACAAATACTTATGTGCTCTAGAAAATTTGAAGCCAAAATCAGTCACCCAAGAAAAGAATATATAACAAATATAAGTCAACATAAAAAGGTAAAATAACGAATAGTTACTAAATAAGTTTTACATTTATTCTTTATAATAATTATAAAATTTCTTCCAGTCACCGTACCGTGCATATCGGCATTGCTGGCCATTATTGAAACCCCAAAATGCGAGGAGCTACCTCTTAAAAAATCTACGTAAGATGCTATGTGGCCACCGGTGGTTCTTGTTCGATTCTTCTCATTTTGTATGGCCGTAGCTAGGTGGTGCTGTCGTGGTGAACTATGGTGTAACCTTATTTTTTTTTATGTCTAGAAAATTTGTCCAACATAAAATAGATTAGAAAAACATAAATTATTTTGTCTTTTATGCTGGAAGAGTTAAATAAAAATTGTTTGGGATATTGGGAACATAAATTAAAAACTTGAGACTACACAAATTCTCAAATGACTCACATTCATTGGGAACAGTGATTTGAACTGGAGTTGCCTGCAAATGGAAGAATCTAATAAAGTTATGCCAAGAAGAAAATAATAATAATAAATAGCTAGATCTAGAAGATCCAACCATGGTTTGGCAACTTTCGTGAATGTCAAAAGTAATTTTGCGGATTTCTGGTGAAAAAAACATGATTAAAAAGAGGCGTAAATCTAAGACTCAAGCCAAAAATAAGAAAAATTAAGAAAATCAAGCAGTTGTAAAGACTAAATGTGAAATGGTTTGTATACTTTGCATTTTGTATCAACAAATGCTAAATGTGTATTTGTATGATTTATTTAAGGTTGTTATTCAATGAATTGTAACTGATCAATTTAATCAATATTGGACTATAATAACTGATCAATTTAATTAATATTGGACTATAATAACTTATATAATGTATTTTTTTTTAATAAATGAGAAGATAACATTAAACAAAGGAGAAATTACAAGCGTCAAACAAAGGTGATCCACCATCACCCAAACATGAAATAGGAATATCGCAAAAAGGAACAACACCACAAAAATTAACACTATTTGCCCACACTGCAAGATGGTGAGCTGTAGAATTCGAATTTCTTGATGCAAATTTGAATCGCCATTTTGGCCAGAGACCCCAGAACCTCCTAATCTCAGCAATAGGAATTTCAGACGTCCATTGGAAGGCTCCTTTTCGACCTTGAATACAGTAGATAGCGTTGATGCAATCAGATTCAAAAATGGCATTCTGAGTATGGGCACAGTTAATGAGCTTGCATGCATCCAAAATAGCTAATGACTCGGCAACCATGGGGTCCATGCACACGTGAGATTTTGTGGAGACAAAAATGATTGATCCATTTGAGTTTCTAATGACGCAGCTGGCCATTGCATGTCCATTGATGAAAGTGGAGTCTGTATTAATTTTGATCCAGTCACTTGGAGGCTTGGTCCAAACAAAGCTGCATGAATTCCCAGCTTTAATCATCTTGAATTGTTGGCTCTCCCAGTGCTCATTTGTGCTCTTTGTTACAGCCTTCAAGAGATCCTGCAAGGGTAAAGACTGAGCTCCATGAGCAACTTTGTTCCTATTCATCCAAATCAAGTCAAAGAGAACTGCAGTGAAAATAACAAACTCGTTTCTAATGGTGGGGTTGGGGAGAAAATTATTATTCCTATCCAAGATGAGGTTGAGCCAGTGATTGATTGGTTCATTCCTAAAAGGATCAATACGAATGTTCCATTTAGAGATGAACCAAATTTGCTGAATAAACGGGCAATGGAGGAAGAGATGTTCCACACTCTAAGAATGAGCACTACAGAAAAAGCAGTCTGTATCGGTGGTCGGAAAAATTCGGTTGAGCCTGGCCTTAGTAGAATGAGGTCATTTGCTACTCTCCAAAGGAGCAGCTTGTGTCTGTTGTGCATATTGATAGACCAAAGATTTTTCCAGTTGAGAGAATTAGCAGAGTAAGCGTGGGTAAAACGGTGAGCTTGGTCCGTAATGTAAGCACTTTTTGTTGAGAAGTTCCCTGACTTGGAGGGAACCCAAAAGAGTGTATTAGGCAAAGCCAAAGGAGAGATTTGGATTTTCTTAATCTCATTAACAACATATGGGGGGGAATATGTATTAAGGAGATTAAGATTCCAGGAGGGACTCTCTTCAAGAAGAAGGTTTTTAATGAGAGCAGATTGAATTAAATAAGGGTTTTGGGGTTCAAGTGGAGGTTTAAAACCAGGCATGGAAGGTAACCAGGGATCTTTCCAAGTTAGAACAGTTGAGTTGGTGCATATGGAGAAGCAAGCACCCTTTAAAATAATGTCCCTAGTCTTATTAATATCAGACCAAAGCCAAGAACAACCATTTGAGTAGAGATCTGAGTGGAGAAAGTACTTCCCTCTCATATATTTTGCAGCAAGAAGGGTCACCCAAAGTTTCTCTTTATTTGTTGCCATGCTCCAAGAAAACTTCGAGAAAAGCGCATGGTTGATATCCTCCATTCTTCTGAATCCCAAGCCCCCACTAGATTTAGGTTGGCAAATGGAATCCCAACACTTAAGCATCAGAGAATTGCCATTAGCATTTTGGCCCCACCAGAACTTTCTAATCCTTGCATCAATGCTAAGACAAATGCTCTTTGGGATAAGTGTGACAGACATGATATATGAGGGTATGGTCAGTGCAACAGCTTTGATAGCTTTGATAAGAATGGTTCTTCCTGCTTTGGATAAGGTCTTTGCTTTCCACCCATTGAGTTGCGAATTAATTCTGACCTGGATGTCTTGAAATGCAGTTGTTCTAGATTTAGGGTTGCAGAAAGGAAGGCCCAAATGCTTGGTCTTATGATTACATTCTCTGAATCCCAGGGTATTAAGAATAGCAATTTTTTCTTGAGGAGCTGTGTTTTTGCTGAAATGAATGTGAGACTTGTCTGCATTAGCATGTTGGCTAGACCAATCAGAAAATTTGTCCAGAATGTTCCTAATGCAAGCTGCATCTTGTGTGGTGGCCCTGCAAAAAATAACCAAGTCATCAGCAAATAAAAGGTGAGAAATAGTAGGAGCAGTTCTAGAAATCTTAACACCTTTAAAGAGGTTTGAATTTTCAGCAAATGAAAGCCTTCTAGAGAGGAGTTCAATATAACAACCAAAAGGAGAGGGGGATAGAGGATCTCCCTGTCTAATTCCTCTCCTAGGAGCCACTCTTCCAAGGGGTGAGCCATTAATTAGAAACGAAAGTGATGAAGATGAGATGCATTCTCGGATCCATCCAGTGAAAGAGCTGCAAAAACCAAGATTATCAAGAATGCATAACAAGAGATCCCACTCGATTCTGTCAAAGGCCTTGGCCAGGTCAACCTTGATGGCCATAAAACCTTTCTTCCCTTTCTTTTTATGAAGATAGTGCATAATTTCATGGGAGATAACAATATTATCTTGGATATTCCTACCGGGGACAAAGGCAGACTGAAATGGGGATATAAATTTGTGCAGATGAGTTTTAAGTTTATTAGCCAGAATTTTGGAAATGGTTTTGTATGTGACATTGCAAAGGCTAATAGGTCTATAGTGGTCAACTCTCGAAGCATTTGGAGATTTTGGGATAAGAGCAATGAAGGTGCAGTTGAGGGCTTTTAAGAGTTGGCCAGTCTTGAAGAAGAACTGGACAGCAGCAATAAATGCAAATTTTGTGGTGCTCCAAAAATTCTTGAAGAAGAGGGGGGGGGGGGGGGGAGACCATCTGGACCTGGACTTTTGTGGGAAGCAAAGGAAAAAAACACCTGCTTGATAGTTTTTGGAGTGGGAATCTCAGATAGTTCAGAGTGATCCTCCTCATTGATAACCCTATGAAATAAATTATTAAGATCTTGGGGAAAAAGGAGAGAGCCATGAGAAAAATCAGATGTAAAGAGAGTATTATAGAAATTTATAAAACAATTACCAATAGCCTCTCTATCATAATGAACAATATTATCCAAGCTTTTAATAGAAGCAATTTTATTAGAATTTGCATGAATGATTGCACAAAGATGAAAATATTTTGAGTTGGCATCACCATCAGAAAGCCATTTGTCTTTTGCTTTTTGCCACCAAAAAGTTTCAGCTCTACAAAGCCACATGTCGAACTCAGTTTGTAAACTTTCATCAATAGCAATATTTGTGACAGACTTATCTTTTTTTTGAATCAATTCAATTTGGAGCTGGAGATCTTTGATTTTAGAATGACAATTCCCAAACTGGTTGAGGTTCCAAGTTTTCAGTGCTTTTTTCACATTTTTAATCCTCGAGTGAATTTTTAGGGGGGGAGAGCCAGAGACAGGAATAGACCAACCAAGCTGGACAGTGTCAAAACAAGAAGGGTCAGATAGCCACATGGCTTCGAATTTGAAAGGCTTTGGTAGATGGTCATCATTATTGGTAGTGAGAAGTATAGGAGAGTGGTCAGAAGAGATGGCGGGGAGATGGTGAATACTGGCATTAGGGAAGAGGGAGTACCATTGAGAATTAGCCACCCCTCTATCTAATCTTTGCTGGATGTTCCCCAATCCTGGTCTTTTATTACTCCAAGTGAATGGATAGCCAAAAAAACCAAGGTCAATAAGATTGAGTTGGTTGAGATCAGAAAGGAGATCATTTTTAGAAGAGGATGCAAAAGGATTACCCCCCCCCCCCCCCC